TTTTGGGGACATTTTCAGGGGTTTAGGGTAAATCTTGGGGTTTGGGGTCATTTTCAGAGTGTTGGGGTCAATTTTAGGGGGTTTGGGGTAATCTCAGGGGGTTTGGGGTCATTTTCAGGGGTTTGGGACAAATTTCAGGGTGTTGGGGTCAATTTTAGAGGGTTTGGGGCCATTTCCAGGGGGTTTGGGGTTGATTTTAAGATGTTTGGGGTCAATCTCAGGGGATTTGGGGTCAATTTTAGGGTGTTGGGGTCAATTTTAGGGTGTTTGGGACCAATTTCAGGGTGTTTGGGGTAAATCTCAGAGGGTTTGGGGTCATTTTCAGAGTGTTGGGGTCAATTTTAGGGTGTTTGGGGTACATCTTAGGGTGTTTGGGGTCATTTTCAGGGTGTTTGGGACCAATTTCAGGGGGTTTGGGTCAATTTTAGGGTGTTTGGGGTCACTTTTAGAGGGTTTGGGGTCAATTTTAGGGTGTTTAGGGACATTTTCAGGGGATTTGGGGTTGATTTTAAGATGTTTGGGGTCATTTCCAGGGGGTTTGGGACCCATTTCAGGGGGTTGGGGTCAATTTTAGGGTGCTTGGGGTCAATCTCAGTGGATTTGGGGGTCAATTTTAGGGTGTTGGGGTCCATTTTAGGGGTTTTGGGGTCATTTTCAGGGGCTTGGGGTCCATTTTAGGGTGTCTGGAGTCAATCTCAGGGGGTTGGGATCAATTTTAAGGTGTTTGGGACCAATCTCAAGGGATTTGGGGTCAATTTTAGAGGGTCTGAGGTCACTCTCAGAGGGTTTAGGGTCCCTTTTAGAGATTTAGGGTCAATTTGAGAGGTTTTGGGGTCCATTTCAGAGGTTTTGGGGTCCATTTCAGGGGTTTAGGGTCACTCTCAGAGGGTTTAGGGTCCCTTTTAGAGGTTTAGGGTCACTCTCAGAGGTTTTGGGCTCAATTTGAGAGGGTCGGGGTCACTCCCAGAGGGTTTGGGGTCACTCCCAGAGACTTTCAAAAGGTTTTGGGTTCCTTCACTGGGGCTTTCAGCCCTCTCAGAGGGTTTTGTTCCCTTCCTGATGGATTTAGGTTTCTTTCAGAGACCTTTGGGCCCTTTCCTGGGGGTTTAGGGCCCTTTCTCAGGGATTTAGGGCCCTTTCCTGGGGGTTCTGGGCCCTTTCCTGGGGGTTCTGGGCCCTTTCTCAGGGGTTTAGGGCCCTTTCCTGGGGATTTAGGGCCCTTTCCTGGGGATTTAGGGCCCTTTCTCAGGGGTTTAGGGCCCTTTCCTGGGGTTTCTGGGCCCTTTCCTGGGGATTTAGGGCCCTTTCCTGGGGATTTAGGGCCCTTTCCTGGGGATTTAGGGCCCTTTCTCAGGGATTTAGGGCCCTTTCCCGGGGATTCTGGGCACTTTCCTGGGGATTCTGGGCCCTTTCCCGGGGGTTCTGGGCCCTTTCCTGGGATTTAGGGCCCTTTCCCTGGGGATTTAGGGCCCTTTCCCGGGGATTTAGGGCCCTTTCCCGGGGATTTAGGGCCCTTTCTCAGGGGTTTAGGGCCCTTTCCCGGGGGTTTAGGGCCCTTTCCTGGGGATTTAGGGCCCTTTCCCGGGGGTTTAGGGCCCTTTCCTGGGGATTTAGGGCCCTTTCCCGGGGATTTAGGGCCCTTTCCTGGGGGTTCTGGGCCCTTTCCTGGGGGTTCTGGGCCCTTTCCCGGGGATTTAGGGCCCTTTCCTGGGGATTTAGGGCCCTTTCTCAGGGATTTAGGGCCCTTTCCTGGGGGTTTAGGGCCCTTTCCTGGGGATTTAGGGCCCTTTCCCGGGGGTTTAGGGCCCTTTCCTGGGGATTTAGGGCCCTTTCTCAGGGATTTAGGGCCCTTTCCTCGGGATTTAGGGCCCTTTCCTGGGGATTTAGGGCCCTTTCTCAGGGGTTTAGGGCCCTTTCCCGGGGGTTTGGGGCCCTTTCTCAGGGGTTTAGGGCCCTTTCCTCGGGATTTAGGGCCCTTTCCTGGGGATTTAGGGCCCTTTCTCAGGGGTTTAGGGCCCTTTCCCGGGGGTTTGGGGCCCTTTCTCAGGGGTTTAGGGCCCTTTCTCAGGGATTTAGGGCCCTTTCCCGGGGATTCTGGGCCCTTTCCTGGGGGTTCTGGGCCCTTTCCTGGGGGTTCTGGGCCCTTTCCCGGGGGTTCTGGGCCCTTTCCTGGGGATTTAGGGCCCTTTCCTGGGGATTTAGGGCCCTTTCCTGGGGATTTAGGGCCCTTTCCCGGGGCTTTGGGGCCCTTTCCTGGGGATTCTGGGCCCTTTCCTGGGGATTTGGGGCCCTTTCCTGGGGATTTAGGGCCCTTTCCTGGGGGTTTAGGGCCCTTTTACAGGGGTTTAGGGCCCTTTCCCGGGGTTTCTGTCCCTCCACTCCAACCTGGAACCTTTTCACCCCTGGTTTCCCTTCTGGCTCCTGCCCCACTCTGGGATTTCCCTGAGACACTGATGGGACACATCCCCCAACCACAGGGGGGGAAATGACCCCAAATCCCACTGGGAAATGACCCCAAATCCGGCTGGGAAAGGAATAGAACCGGGCAGGGAAAGGAACCCAAACAGGGCTGGGAAAGGAACTGAACTGGGCTGGGAAATGATCCCAAACAGAGCTGGGAAAGGAACCCAAACAGGGCAGAGAAATGATCCCGAATCCGGTTGGAAAAGGAGCAGAACCCGGCAGGGAAATGACCCCAAACCTGTCTGGGAAATGACCCCAAACACGGCTAGGAAAGAAAAAGAACCGGGCAAGGAAAGGAACCCAAACAGGGCTGGGAAAGGAACCCAAACCCGGCCGGGAAATGACCCCAAACAGGGCTGGGAAATGACCCCAAACAGGGCCGGGAAATGACCCCAAACACGGCTGGGAAATGACCCCAAACCCGGCTGGGAAAGGATCCCAAACCCGGCCGGGAAATGACCCCAAACAGGGCTGGCAAAGGAACAGAACCCGGCTGGGAAATGATTCCAAACCTGGCTGGGAAAGGAACAGAATCAGGCTGGGGAAGGATCCCAAACCCGGCCGGGAAATGACCCCAAACAAGGCTGGCAAAGGAACCCAAACCCGGCTGGAAACGGACCCGACCCGGGCCGGGCAAAGAACCCAAACCCGGCTGGGAACGAACGGAACCGGGCCGGGAGTGCCGGAGATCCCCGCAAGGCGCGAGTGCCCAGCCCGGAGCGGGGCCGGACCCGCAGAGCCGCCGGTGACAGCGGCACGGCCGGGGGTGACAGCGGGGCCCGGCCGGAGCTCCCGAGGGGAGCAGCGGGATCCGAGCGAGCTCGTCCCGGGGATCTCCGCACCGGGAGCGCCGGGCGGCGGCGGGGAGCGAGCGGAGAGATGGGGGGACCCTGCGGGGGGACACCGGCAGGGACGCGGGGACACGGCGGGCACGCGATGGGGCCGGGAGGAGCCGCCGGCGGCCGGGGGGACCCTGGGAGAGACCGCGGGGCCCCGCGGGTGGACACGGGGGGAGCGCGGCCTGCGCGCCTGGGCCGCGCCGGGCCTGGCCGGGCCTGGCCGTGCGGGGCTCGGCCGCGCGGGCCGGGGGGGCGGCGCGGGGGGGCCGGGAGGGCGGCGGGCGGGCCCGGGCGAGCCCCGCGCTGCGGCCGGAGCTCACCTGCACATGATCCGCCATCTTGCCCCATTCATGCTCCGCTCGCGCCTCCGCCCCCGCCTGCGCCGGGCCCGGCGCCACCGCGTCCCCCCGCGCCGCCGCCCGCACCGCGCATGCGCCGCGCCGCGACCCCGCCCCTCCCGCGCCTGCGCGCGACGGAGGGACACGCCCACTCCGCGCCCTCCCCGCCTATCCCGCGCCTGCGCGCGCCCATAGGACGCGCCCACAACACGGAAACCACGCCCATCCCGGTGAGACCACGCCCCCGTGTTCGTGCGGGGCCTGCGCGCGGGGTCGGGACACGCCCACAGCGGCCTGGCCACGCCCCCTCGTGCGCGCGCGGCGCGCTGCGTCTGACGTCACGACGTCGGCGCGGGGCGGGAGAGGAGGGAGGGGCGTGAGGCGGGTTTGTTGACACGGCCTTAAAGGAGCCGCGCACCCCGGGACAGAACAGGGACAGCGGGGACAGCACGGGGACAGAGCGGGGACAGCGCGGGGACAGCACGGGGACAGCACGGGGACAGCACGGGGACAGAGCCGGGGCAGCGCGGGGACAGCGCGGGGACAGCACTGGGATAGCACGGGGACAGATCCGGGACACCACGAGGACAGCGCGGGGACAGCGCGGGGACAGATCCGGGACAGAGCCGGGACACCACGAGGACAGCACAGGGACAGCGCGGGGACAGCGCGGGGACAGCACTGTGAGCACTGGCACCAGCACGCCCAGTGCCATCGGTGCCTCCAGTGTCATCACTGTGAGCACTGACACCGATCTGAGCAGTGCCACCAGTGCCACCAGTGCCACCAGTGCTCCCAGTCCCCCCAGTGTCCTGCCCAGTGTCCGGTGTCCTCCACCTCTGCTCCCAGGGCCTGTCAACACCACAGGGGCGTGTCCCCAGTGGCACACCCACATTGCCACACCCATGTGTCCACTTGTGGGCAGTGCCACACCCGTGTGTCCCCAGTGGCACACCCACAGTGCCACACCCACAGTGCCACACCCATGTGTCCCCAGTGCCACACCCACAGTGCCACACCCATGTGTCCACTCTGGGCAGTGCCACACCCATGTGTCCCCAGTGTCACACCCACAGTGCCCTGCCCACCTGTCTGGCTGTGGGTTAGGGTTAGGGTTAGGTGAGACTCCCCCGTGTCCCCAGTGTCACAGCCATCCATGTGTGTGCTGTGCCACCCCCTCCTGTCCCCAATGTCACAGCCCTGTGTGTGCTGTGCCACCCCCTCCTGTCCCCAATGTCACACTCATGTGTGTGCTGTGCCACACCCCCGTGTCCCCAATGTCACACTCATGTGTGTGCTGTGCCACTCCCCCGTGTCCCCAGCGCCACCCCCGTGTCCCCGTGGGGACCCACAGGAAGTCGCCGAGCGCAGGAAGCAGCAGAGCCCGGGCTGAGCGCGGCACGGGCGGAGCCCGCCCTGGTGACACCGTGGGGACACGGCCCCCAGGACCCCCAGGACCCCCGGGACACTGAGGACACTCGGGAACACTTGGGACACTCCTGGCACTCTGGACATTCTGGACAAACCAGACACTCGGGGACACTTGTGACCCTTGGGACGCTGTGGGCACTGCGGATACTCAAGACAGGCCGGACACTCTGGACACTTGGGACACGCTGGACACTTGGGGACACTTGGGACACTCCAGACACTTCGGGACCCTCAGCACACTCTGGACACTCCAGATACTCAGGGACACCCAGGACACACTGGACACTTGAGGACACTCAGGACACTCGGGACACGCCGGACACTTGAGGACAGGCTGGACACTTGGAACACTCAGGGACACTCAGGGACACTCGGGACAGGCCGGACACACGGACACTGGCCATGGAGGAGGCGGTGGTGAAGCAGGGCTGGCTGTACCTGCAGCTGCAGCAAACCTTCGGCAAGGTCAGCGGGGTTGGGGGCCTGGAGGCGGGGATCCCATGGGAATGGGGTGAATGCCATGGGAATGGGGTGAATTCTACAGGAATGGGGTGAATCCCACAGGAATGGGGTGAATCCTACAGGAATGGGGTGAATCCCCTGGGAATGGGGTGAATCCCACAGGAATAGGGTGAATCCCACGGGAATGGGGTGAATCCTACAGGAATGGGGTGAATCCTACAGGAATGGGGTGAATCCCCTGGGAATGGGGTGAATCCTACAGGAATGGGGTGAATCCCCTGGGAATGGGGTGACCCCACCTGTTGATGCTCAGCTGTCCCTCAGCCACCGTGGGGGGACAGGAGGTGCTGGGGACACTTTGTGCAGACCCCCTAAAAGAGGCTCTGCAGAGCTAGGGGGTGACAGATGTGACCACCAAAGCCTCATTTAGGGACAGTGACGGCTGCAGGCCCCAAAGCTGCATTTGGGGACAGTGACGGCTGCAGGCCCCAAAACCTCATTTGGGGACAGTGACGGCTGCAGGCCCCAAAGCCGGGTTTGGGGACAGAGACGGCTGCAGGCCCCAAAACCTCATTTAGGGACAGTGATGGCTGCAGACCCCAAAGCCACATTGGCGACAGAGATGGCTGCAGGCCCCAAAGCTGCGTTTGGGGACAGTGACGGCTGCAGGCCCCAAAACCTCATTTGGGGACAGTGACGGCTGCAGGCCCCAAAACCTCATTTGGGGACAGCGACGGCTGCAGGCCCCAAAGTTTTGTTTGGGGACAGTTCCAGTGGGGAGGTGATGGCTGCAGGCCCCAAAGCCACATTTAGGGACAGTGACAGCTGCAGGCCCCAAAGCCACGTTGGGGACAGTGACGGCTGCAGGTCCCAAAGCTGCATTTGGGGACAGTGACGGCTGCAGGCCTCAAAGCCGGGTTTGGGGACAGTGACAGTTGCAGGCCCCAAAGCTGCATTTGGAGACAGTGGGGAGGTGATGGCTGCAGGCCCCAAAGCTGAGTTTGAGGACAGTGACAGTTGCAGGCCCCAAAGTTGTGTTTGGGGACAGTGGGGAGGTGATGGCTGCAGGCCCCAAAGCCACATCGGGGGACAGTGACGGCTGCAGGCCCCAAAGCTGCATTTGGGGACAGTGACGGCTGCAGGCCCCAAAGCCACGTCTGGGGACAGTGACAGTTGCAGGCCCCAAAGCTGCATTTGGGGACAGTGGGGAGGTGATGGCTGCAGGCCCCAAAGCTGCGCGGCTTCCGCTGCCGATAAAGGCTGGGGTTGGGCAATGGCTGCGAGGGGGAAGGAGCTGAGGGAAGGAGCTGAGGGAAGGAGCTGAGGGAAGGAGCTGAGGAGCCTCTCCTGCCCCTCTCCCTTCTCTCCCTCCCCACAGAGCCCAATCCCAGGGGATTCAGCCCACAGGAAGGGTGGGGATCCCAAAAGCCCATCCCAGGAAAAGGGAGCTGTGGGACCCTGAGCTGCCGGGGAGGTTTTGGGGCTGCTTCCTCTGCCCCCACTTCCCCTCTGCCCTGGGGCCACCCGCGCTCCCTGAGCCCGGAACTGCTGCTGCTGCTTTTGGGGCAGAGCACGAGAGATGAAAATTTGGGTTTTTTTAGGGAAAATGGGAGGAAAAAGGAGCTGGAAGTTGTTCACAGCTTGTGGGGTGGGTGAGACTGGGGTGCTAGAAAGGCTTTGCTGAGTGTCAAGGGTTTATCCAGGGATTTAAATCCCAATTTATGTCACCCCCATCTTCAGTCAGACCCTGCAGGGTTTTGCACGCTTGTCCTGCCTTAGGTGATGCTAAGCATGGTCCCAAGGAGATAAAAACTCCTGGGAAGGTAAAACCTTTCTGGGAAGGTAAAACCCTTCTGGAAAGGTAAGAATTCCTGGGGAGGTAAAAATTACTGGAAAGGTAAAAACTCCTGGGAAGGTAAAAACTCCTGAAAAGGTAAAAACTCCTGGGAAAGTAAAAACCCCTGGAAAAGTGAAAATTCCTGGGAAGGTAAAAGTTCCTGGAAAGGTGAAAACTCCCAGGAAGGTAAAAAGCCCTGGAAAAGTAAAACCCTTCCGGAAAGGTAAAAACTCCTGGAAAGATAAAATATCTTGGAAGGATAAAACTCTTGGGAAGGTAAAAATTCCTAGAGAGGTAAAAACCCCTGGGAAAGTAAAAAATTCCTGGAGAGGTAAAAAATCCTGGAAAGGCAAAAACTCCTGGGAAGGTAAAAACTCCTGGAGAGGTGAAAATGGTGGGAAAAGTAAAAACTTTGGGGAAAGTAAAAACCCCAGGGAAGGTTGAACCCCATGGAAAGTAGAACCCCATGGAAAGTAGAACCCCACAGAAGGTCGAACCCTTTTGGGAAGGTAAAAACCCCATGGAAAGTAGAACCCCATGGAAGGTCAAACCCTCTGGGGAAGGTAAAAACCTCTGGGAAGGTTCAACCCTTTTGGGAAAGTAAATACCCCAGGGAAGATTGCAGCCTTTTGAGAAGGTAGAACCCCATGGAAGGTCAAACCCCAGGGAAGGTCGAACCCTTTTGGGAAGGTAGAACCCCATGGAAGGTAGAACCCCATGGAAGGTCAAACCCCAGGGAAGGTCGAACCCTTTTGGGAAGGTAGAACCCCAGAAAAGGTAGAACCCCATGGAAGGTAGAACCCCATGGAAGGTAGAACCCCCTGGAAGGTCAAACCCTTTAGGGAAGGTAGAACCCCATGGAAGGTCAAACCCCAGGGAAGGTCGAACCCTTTAGGGAAGGTAGAACCCCAGAAAAGGTAGAACCCCATGGAAGGTAGAACCCCAGGGAAGGTCAAACCCTTTAGGGAAGGTAGAACCCCATGGAAGGTCAAACCCCAGGGAAGGTCGAACCCTTTAGGGAAGGCAGAGCTCCATGGAAGGCAGAACCCCATGGAAGGCAGAACCCCAGGGAAGGTAGAACCCCAGAAAAGGTAGAACCTCATGGAAGGTAGAAACCTTTGGGAAGGCAGAACCCTTTGGGAAGGCAGAACCCCCTGGAAGGTAGAACCCCCTGGAAGGTCAAACCCTTTAGGGAAGGTAGAACCCCAGAAAAGGTAGAACCCCATGGGAGGTAGAACCTCATGGAAGGCAGAACCCTTTGGGAAGGCAGAACCCTTTGGGAAGGCAGAACCCCATGGAAGGTAGAACCCCACGGAAGGCAGAACCCTTTGGGAAGGCAGAACCCCACGGAAGGCAGAACCCCACGGAAGGCAGAACCCTTTGGGAAGGCAGACACCCCGGCTGTCCCCCAGCAGAAGTGGAAGAAGTTCTGGGCCGTGCTGTACCGGGAGAGCTCGCGCTCCACGGCGCGCCTGGAGCTGCAGGAGGGCCCCGAGCGGCCGCGCAGGGCCGAGGGCGGCCGGCGCCTGGTCCGGCTCAGCGACTGCGTGCACGTGGCCGAGGCGGGCGGCGACGCCTCCTGCCCCAAGGACACCGTCCCCTTCCTGCTGGAGACCACGGAGCGCCGCTTCCTGCTGGCTGCCGACGGCGCCGAGGCGGCCGAATGGATCCAGCGGCTCTGCGAGCTGGCGTTCCCGGTACGTGTGTGAGAGCGGCTGGGGAACGGGGCATCCACCGGGGTGGGTGGGATCTCTTGGGGTGGGTGGGATCTGCTGAGGTGGGTGGGATCCACTGGAATGGGTGGGATCTGCTGGGGTGGGTGGGATCCACCAGGATGGATGGGATCTGATGGAATGGATGGGATCCACCAGGGTGGGTGGGTTCTACTGGGCTTGGTGGGACACACTGGGGTGGGTGGGATCTGCTGGGGTGGGTGGGATACACTGGGTTGGGGGAATCCACCGGGCGGGGTTGGGATCCATTGGCGTGGAAGGGATCCACCAGGATGGATGGGATCCACCAGGATGGATGGGATCCACCAGGGTGGCTGGGATCCACTGGGGTAGGTGGGATCCACCAGGATGGATGGGATATACTGGGATGGATGGGATTCCTGGGATGGATGAGATCCACTGGGATGGGTGGAATCTGCCAGTATGAATGGGATGCACCAGGGTGGATGGGATCTGCTGGGAAGGGTGGGATGCACTGGGATGGATGGGATCTGCCATCATGGATGGGATGCACAGGAATGGATGGGATCCACTGGGATGGATGGGATCTGATAGAATGGATAGGATCCATCAGGGTGGGTGGGATCTGCCAGGATGGCTAGGATCCACCAGGATGGAGGGGATCCACTGGGATGGATGGGATCTGCTGGGATGGGTGGGATGCACTATATTGAATGGGATCCACTGGATTGGATGGGATGCACAGGGATGGATGGGATGCACAGGGATGGATGGGATCAACTGGATTGGATGGGATGCACAGGGATGCACGGGATCCACTGGATTGGATGGGATGCACAGGGATGGATGGGATCCACTGGATTGGATGGGATGCACAGGGATGCACGGGATCCACTGGATTGGATGGGATGCACAGGGATGGATGGGATCCACTGGATTGGATGGGATGCACAGGGATGGATGGGATGCACAGGGATGGATGGGATCCACTGGGTTGGATGGGATGCACAGGGATGGATGGGATCCACTGGATTGGATGGGATGCACAGGGATGGATGGGATCCACTGGATTGGATGGGATGCACAGGGATGGAGGGGATGCACAGGGATGGATGGGATGCACAGGGATGGATGGGATGCACTGGATTGGATGGGATGCACAGGGATGGATGGGATGCACAGGGATGGATGGGATGCACAGGGATGGATGGGATCCACTGGGATGGATGGGATCCACTGGATTGGATGGGATGCACGGGGATGGATGGGATCCCTCACCTGCCACTCTTGCCCCGGGGCAGAGGAGCCGTGAGGAGCCGGGAGCAGCCAAGGAGAGCACGGAGGGCGAGTTCTCCATGGAGGAAAATTCCCTGTACAGCTCGCGGGGCAAAGGTGGGAGCGGGGCTGGGGCTGTGTGGGGTGGGGTGGGGAAATCTCCTCCCCCAAAAGCCTCTTCCTGTTTGTGGGGCCGGCTGGGCTGCGCTATCAGCAGTGGTCAGCCTGGCCAGCCCTTATCAGCTGGACACTGCTGGCCTGGCTGGAGGGGTCATCCACAGCCCTTCTGCAGGCTGGGACATGTGTCCAGTGTCCACCCTGGCCATCCCAGCTGGCCTGGACCCGTCTGTCCATGTTTGGGGGTCACTCACAGCCCCTCTCTAGGGTGGGACACGTGTCCAGTGTCCACCCTGTCCATCCCAGCTGGCCTGGACCTATCTGTCCTAGTTCGGGTGGGACACGTGTCCAGCACCAGCTGTGTCCAGGGCTCTGGCCTTTGGGTCACTCCCAGCCCCTCTATGGTACAGGACCTGTGTCCAACACTCTGTCCATCCCCAGCCAGCCTGGAGCAGGCTGTCCTGGCTTGGGGGTCACTCACAGCCCCTCTGCAGCGTGGGACATGTGTCCAATGCTGTGTCCATCCCAGCTGGCCTGGAGCAGGCTGTCCTGGCTCGAGGGGGTCACTCACAACCCCTCTGCAGGGTGGGACACATGTCCAGTGTCCACCCTCTCCATCCCAGCTGACCTGGAGCCATCTGCCCTGGCTTGGGGGTCACTCTGCTGGGTGGGACACGTGTCCAGCACCATCTGTGTCCAGGGCTCCGGCCTTTGGGTCACTCCCAGCCCCTCTGTGGTGTGGGACCCGTGTCCAACGCCGTGTCCATCCCCAGCCAGCCTGGACCATCTGTTCATTTTGGAGGTCACCCACAGCCCTTCTCCAGGGTGGGACATGTGTCCATTGTCCAGTCTGTCCATCCCCAGCTGTCCTGGAGCCATCTGCCCTGGCTTGGGGGTCACTCTGCTGGGTGGGACACGTGTCCAGCACCAGCTGTGTCCAGGGCTCTGGCCTGGGGGTCACTCCCAGCCCCTCTGTGGTGTGAGACCCGTGTCCAACACTGTGTCCATCCCAGCTGGCCTGGAGCAGGCTGTCCTGGCTTGGGGGTCACTCTGCTGGGTGGGACACGTGTCCAGCACCAGCTGTGTCCAGGGCTCCGGCCTTTGGGTCCCTCTGTGGTGTGGGACCCGTGTCCAACGCCGTGTCCCTCCCCAGCCGGCCTGGAGCAGGCGTTTGAGGTGACAGTGAGGGTGACGCCATCGTCGCAGCGCTGCCGGCTCCGGGGCCGCTGCATCCTGCGGGCGGGCGAGGAGGCGCTGGAGCTGTGGCACCCTCAGAGCCAGGAGCTGCTCTCCAGCTGGCCCTACCGCTTCCTGCGCCGCTTCGGCCGCGACAAGGTCAGTGTGTGGCACCAGGGCAGGGCTGGGCATGGCCTGGGCACTGTGGGGACTGACCCTGCCTGTTTTGTGGAGATAATCTACTGGGATAAGTCCCAATATTATGGGATGGAATGTGCCTGGGCTCGTCTGACCCTTGCTGCTTGACCAAGGGCAGCAGCTGTGGTGGTTTCACCTCAGAGACACCTTTGGCTGGCACTTGGGACAAGTCCAGGCAAGCAGGAGCTCAGGTTTACCTCTGGTGGAAAGGCTTTAGGCGAAGTGAAGGAAAAGGAGATGGGTCCTGCTGGAGGGTTTTGATCCAGAGCTTTATTCGTAGCACACAGAGCCCTGAATGCTGCACCAGCTCCCACAGAACAGTTGAACCCTGTGGTTGCTGGGTCTTTTAACCCCGGGGAGAGGGGGAAGGAAGGGGTAGGGGTCCCACCAACCAGGTGGGAGGGGGGAACTCTCAGGGGACAAATGACACCTGGATGGCCCAATGTCCCCCAGGGCTGAGGGGCACCTTTTGAACTGTGCCAATCACACAACTGCCCTTGCTGGCACACCGAGAGTGACAGACAGTGCTCAGCAGGAGGCAAGGGGAGGGGAAGGGAGAGGGCATTGGCACACCTGGGAAAAGAACTGGGAGAGCTGAACCAGGCTATTACATCCCACTGCAACAATAATCAAAACTCCACCACTTTGTGACGGTTGTAAAGCCAGTATGTTTATTACACGCATGTGGGAAGTGTTCCCCTAAAATGACATGCGTGCCTCTGGGAACTTCAGGCCCCTTTTTATCCCCCTCTCAAATACATATGCACACAATTTCACAATAGGTTCATACATATTCATTTTTATGAATTTTGTGCTAGTTCTTCTTTATCAGAAAGAATTCCTAGGTCAGGTTGACCTGCTCTCACAGCAGTCTCTGTCTCTCTTTATCAATTTTGTCTCCTCCCCCTTATCTCTGTCCTTCCCTGAAGCAGTTTCTCTGAGCATAGGTTCTGCAGTCAGGCTAAATAGCCATATTTTCCAACCACAGACTCAACTCAAAGATGTACATTTCACCTAAACCAAAATGGGTTTCTACCCTGGGAAATTTCCACTTTGCCCCATGCCCTCCACAGGTCACCTTCTCCTTCGAGGCCGGCCGGCGCTGCGCGTCCGGAGAGGGCAACTTCGAGTTCGACACCAGGCAGGGCAACGAGATCTTCCAGGCCATCGAGGCGGCCATCGAGGTCCAGAAGGGCCGGGGCGGTCCCGCGGATGAAGCCCCGCGGCTGCTGGAGCACGCCAGGACGCCCAGCTGGGCACAGGGCCACGAGGAGCCCAAGTGTCCCCCCGGGGAGGCCAAGGTGCCCAAAGGGGAGGGGAAAGGGGCCAAGGGCAGGTTGGTGGCGCCCCCCGGGGCTGGGGAGGGCTCGGGGCCGTCGCAGCTGTCGCGGGGCGGGGATTGTCCCTACGCGGAGCCGCGCGATTCGCTGCGCCCGCCCGCCAAGGGCCGGAGGCCGGACGGGGCCGGGGTGGAGTCCGAGTACGCCGTCCCCTTCGACACCATCGCCAAGGCCTTCCTGGCGCGCCAGTTCGGCGGCCTGGGCTGTGCCCAGGAGGGGCTCCCCGAGCCCCCCAGCGTCCCCAAGGATGCAGGGGGGGCTCAGCAGCCCCCCGGCCGCCCCACGGCCCCCAAACCCGAGCACATCTATGACGAGCCCGAGGGGCTCTCGGGGCTCTCGCTGTACGACGAGCCCAAGGAGGTGAAGGGGGAGGCCTGGAGGCTGCAGGCGGCCCCCGAGGAGCCCCCCGGGCTCGGCTGTCCCTACAACGCCCAGCGCGACGACTACGCCGTCCCCAAGAGGCCCTTCCTGCTGCAGGGCAAGGAGTGGCTCGGGGACAGTGACTATGACAACGTGGCCCTCAGGCTGGCCAAGAAGAGGAACCTGCAGTGAGCGGCGGTGGGGGAGAGGAGGAGGGGACGCCCCAAATCCCCCAGCCGGACTCTACCCCACCCCTGGCAGAGCTGAGACCCCCCCAGCTTAGAGCACCCCGGGCTGGGGAGGGGGCACAGCCTGGGCTGGCAGGGGACAGCTGGAAGGTGGCAGGGGACACATGGGAGGTGCCAGGGGACACCAGGGGGGTGGCAGGGGACAGCCAGGGGGGTGGCAGGGGACACCAGAGAGGTGCCAGGGGACAGCTGGGGGGTGCCAGGGGACACAAGGGGGGTGGCAGGTGACACCAGGGGTGGCAGGGGACACATGGGAGCTGCCAGGGGACACCAGGGGGGTGGCAGGTGACACCAGAGAGGTGCCAGGGGACAGCTGGGGGGTGGGAGGGGACACCAGGGGTGGCAGGGGACAGCTGGAAGCGCCGGCTGTGCCCACTGGAGGGCAGTGCGAGCCCACCGGAGCAGCCGGGCTCGGGCAGCCGGAGCCCCGCGGCCCCGCGGCCGCAGCTCCAGGGCCCCAAAGGCGGCTCTGCCCCACTCATCCCCCCGGGATGCACTTCCAGGGGCGGCCGGAGCGGGAATGGCCTGGGGTGCTCAGCTGGGTGCACTTCCCCAAGGATGGACATCCCAGACCTTCCAGGGATGGACATCCCAAACCCTCCAGGGATGGACATTCCGAAACCCCCAGGGGTGGACATCCCAAATCCCTCAGGATGGACATCCCGAGTCCCCTGGGATGGACATCCCAAACCCTCCAGGGATGGACATTCCGAAAGCCCCAGGGGTGGATATCCCAAACTTTCCAGGGATGGACATCCCAAACCCTCCAGGGATGGACATTCCGAAACCCCCAGGGGTGGATATCCCAAATCCCTCAGGATGGACATCCCGAGTCCCCAGGGATGGACATTCCAAATCTCCAGGGATGGACATTCCAAAACCCCCGGGGTGGATATCCCAAATCCCTCAGGATGGACATCCCGAATCCTACAGGGATGGACATTCCGAAACCGCCAGGGGTGGATATCCCAAATCCCTCAGGATGGACATTCCAAATCTCCAGGGATGGACATTCCAAAACCCCCGGGGTGGATATCCCAAATCCCTCAGGATGGACATCCTGAATCCTACAGGGATGGGCATCCCGAGTCCCCTGGGATGGACATTCCAAATCTCCAGGGATGGACATCCCGAGTCCCCCGGGGATGCAGATCCCACCCCATGGGATGGGCAGTGCTCATTCCCAGGGATGCAGATCCCACCCCATGGGATGGGCAGTGCTCATTCCCAGGGATGCAGATCCCACTCCTGAGCCCTCCCGTGCCCCCACACAGCTCCCAGTGCTCCCAGTATGTTCCAGTGCCATGGCAGTGCCGGGTCCTTCCCCTCCCAGAGGTTCCTCTCTCCCTTGCTCAGCAAACCCACAAATTCCATCTGTTTCAGCCTCACTTTTGGTTGTAATTCTCTTTATAAACGCCATTTCCAGCCCCTCTGAATTCCAGATGGAAAACTGGGCTTTATTTACATGGACATTTTCACAGCTGGCTCCAGTCCTCCCAGTGCAAACCAGTACACAGCCATGGGGTCATTTTCCTTTCCCTTTTTCCTTTCCCTTTTTCCTTTCCCTCTTTCCTTTCCCTCTTTCCTTTCCCTTTTTCCTTTCCCTTTTTCCTTTCCTTTCCTTTCCTTTCCTTTCCTTTCCTTTCCTTTCCTTTCCTTTCCTTTCCTTTCCTTTCCTTTCCTTTCCTTTCCTTTCCTTTCCTTTCCTTTCCTTTCCTTTCCTTTCCTTTCCTTTCCTTTCCTTTCCTTTCCCTTTCCCTTTCTCTCTCCCTCTCCCTCTCCCTCTCCCTCTCCCTTTCCCTTTCCCTTTCCCTTTCCCTTTCCCTTTCCCTTTCCCTTTCCCTTTCCCTTTCCCTTTCCCTTTCCCTTTCCCTTTCCCTTTCCCTTTCCCTCTCCCTTTCCCTTTCCCTTTCCCTCTCCCTTTCCCTTTCCCTCTCCCTTTCCCTTTCCCTTTCCCTTTCCCTTTCCCTTTCCCTTTCCCTTTCCCTTTCCCTTTCCCTCTCCCTCTCCCTCTCCCTCTCCCTCTCCCTCTCCCTTTCCCTCCTCATCTTCCTCCTCCTCCTCCTCTTCCCAGCCTTTCCTGGGGCACATCCCGCCCCTCAAGCAGCCCCACCCCAATTCCCATGGGATTTCCCTGGATCCCTCAGTGCCCAGGACCCCCCGGGACCCCCCAGCCCCATCCCCACCCCGGAGCCCCCTCAGGATCCCGGTTCCTCAGGTTTTCCATGGAAAGCACGGCCATTCCATGAATTATTTATAACCTCTCCCAATCAAAGGCGAGGCTCAGGTACTGCAGTTCATTTCCTGGATCCTGAGAATCCAATTAATGAGCCAAATTAAGGGGTTTTGATAAGAGATGCTGATTAAAGCTCCGGCTCCATCGCTGCACCCCGGCTGGGGCTGGGGGCAATGGGGTGCACAGGTGGGATCCTGCTCCAGGTGGGATCCTGCTCCAGGTGGGATCCTGCTCCAGGTGGGATCCTGCTCCAGGTGGGATCACACAGGGGAAAACACCTACAAGTGGTCCAAAACAAAGGGAAACGTCTCCAGCAGGATTTTCCATGTGGGATTCAGGAAAATCATGGAGCGAGGCAGAGCTGGAAGGGTTTGGGATGCACTGATGGGTGGGAGATGCTTCCCATCCTTTCCCAGCCCCATTCCTATGGAAAAATGGGATCATCCCTGTCTGTGCCCAGCTGGTTCTCATCTGCAGAGCTGGGGAGATCCAGAAAATCCCAGTCTGGAAAAATGGGATCATCCCCATCCATGCCTGGGTTCCAGAGCCAGGGAAATCCAGAAAATTCCAATCTGGAAAAATGGGACCATCCCTGTCCATGACTGGGCTCCAGAGCCAGGGAAGTCCAGAATTCCTGAGCCGGAAAAATGGGATCATCCCCATCCATGCCCAGCTGGTTCCCATCTCCAGAGCTGGGGAGATCCAGGAGAATTCCTGAGCTGGAAAAATGGGATCATCCCCATTCATGCCCCGGCTGATTCCCATCTGCAGAGCTGGGAAAATCCAGGAGAATTCCTGAGCTGGAGAAATGGGATCATCCCCATCCATGCCTGGCTGATTCCCATCCCCAGAGCCAGGGAAATCCAGAATTCCTGAGCTGGAAAAATGGGATCATCCCCATCCATGCCCAGGCTGGTTCCCATCTGCAGAGCTGGGGAAATCCAGGAAAATTCCCAGGCTGGAAAAATGGGACCATCCCTGTCCATGCCCGGGCTCCAGAGCCAGGGAAGTCCAGAATTCCTGAGCCGGAAAAATGGGATCATCCCCATTTTTCAAGCTGGCTCCCATCCCCAGAGCTGGGGAAATCCAGAATTCCCAAACTGGAAAAATGGGATCATCCCCATCCATGCCTGGCTGGTTCCCATCTCCAGAGCTGGGGAAACCCAGGAGAATTCCTGAGCTGGAAAAATGGGATCATCCCTGTCCATGACTGGGCTCCAGAGCCAGGAAAGTCCAGAATTCCTGAGCTGGAAAAATGGGATCATCCCCATTTTTCAAGCTGGCTCCCATCCCCAGAGCTGGGGAAATCCAGAATTCCCAAACTGGAAAAAATCCATGCCCAGGCTGATTCCCATCTGCAGAGCTGGAGAAATCCAGGAGAATTCCCAGGCTGGAAAAATGGGATGATCCCCATTTTTCAAGCTGGGTCCCATCTCCAGAGCTGGGGAAATCCAGGAGAATTCCCTGTCTGGAGCTGGGGACTCCTGGCAGCTCGGGGCCGTTCATCGGGAATCGATTGATGGAGCACATGTTATTATTAATTAATTAACGCTCATTAGCGGCTTATTCATTATTAATCGGTGTTAACACAGCCCTCCCTGCTCCTTCCAGTTTTCCTTCCTTAACCAAAGGAATGGAAACTCTGCCCACGCTTTGCTTCCCAATCCTGGGGGAAGCCAGGGAATGAGGGATGGCTGGGAATGGGGCTGTAAAAACAAGGAAACACTTCCCAAAATTCCCAATCCCACATGAAGCCAGGGAATGCAGAAATGGAGCTGTAAAAACATGGAAAGATTTCCTGGAGTGAAATTCCCAATCCTATGGGAAGCCAGGGAATGAGGGATCACTGGGAATGGAGCTGTAAAAATGAGGAAACATCTCCCAAATTCCCAATCCTATGGGAAACCAGGGAATGTGGGAATGGAGCTGTAAAAACATGGAAAGATTTCCTGGAGTCAAATTCCCAATCCTATGGGAAACCAGGGAATGAGGGATCTCTGGGAATGGGGCTGTAAAAACAAGGAAACACTTCCCAAACTTCCAAATCCTGGAGTTAAATTCCCAATCTTTTGGGAAGCCAGGGAATGAGGGATGGCTGGGAATGGGGCTGTAAAAATGAGGAAACACTTCCCAAATTCCCAATCCTGTGGGAAAACCAAGGAATGCAGAAATGGAGGTGTAAAAACATGGAAAGATTTCCTGGAGTGAAATTCCCAATCCTGGGGGAAACCAGGGAATGAGGGATGGCTGGGAATGGAGCTGTAAAAACAAGGAAACACTTCCCAAAATTCCCAATCCCATGAGAAGCCAGGGAATGAGGAATCACTGGGAATGGAGCTGTAAAAATGAGGAAACATCTCCCAAATTCCCAATCCTGTGGGAAGACAAGGAATGTGGGAATGGAGCTGTAAAAACAAGGAACAATTTCCTGGAGTCAAATTCCCAATCCTAAGGGAAACCAGGGAATGTGGGATCTCTGGGAATGGGGCTGTAAAAACAAGGAAACACTTCCCAAAATTCCAAATCCTGGAGTTAAATTCCCAATCTTTTGGGAACCCAGGGAATGAGGGATGGCTGGGAATGGGGCTGTAAAAATGAGGAAACACTTCCCAAATTCCCAATCCTGTGGGAAACCAGGGAATGCATAAATAGAGGTGTAAAAACATGGAAAGATTTCCTGGAGTGGAATTCCCAGTCCTGGGAATGAGGGGTGGCTGGGAATGGAGCTGTAAAACCATGGATACAATTCCCAAACTTCCCCTTCCTCTGGGATTTGCAGAGGGCAGCCAGGGATTGGTTGGAATGGCACCAATCGAGTTTTAGCAGGGACTGGGGGAAATTTTGGGAATTT